CAAGGTCCTATGCCTAGGCTAGGCAAGCTCCAAGTATTCATACAAGCTGTGGGATGAACAGATTAAGAGCAGCCCTAAGAAGGAGTTGGGGGTGTTGGTGGACACTACAGGGGACATGAACTGGCTATGTGTGCTCACAGCCCAGAAAGCCAACTATATCCTTGGCTGCATCAAAAGCAGCATGGCCAGCAGGTCGAGGGAGGGGATTCTGCCCCTCTACTGTGCTCTGGTGAGACCCCACCTGGAATACTGCATCCAGCTCTGGGGTCCTCAGCACAGGAAAGACATGGACCTGTTGGAGTGGGTTCAGAGGAAGGTCACAAAAATGATCAGAGAGATGGAGCACCTCTCCTATGAAGACAGGCTGAGGGAGTGGGAGTTGTTCAGCCTGGAGAAGGCTCTCAGGAGACCTTATAGCAGCCTTTCAACACTTAAAGGGGCTTATAAAAATAACAGGGACAAACTTCTTAGCAGGGCCTGCTGTAGTAGGACAAAGACAAATGGTTTTAAACTGAAAGAGGATAGATTCAGATTAGATATAAGACATGTTTTACCATGAGGGTGGTAAGGCATTGGCACAGACTGTCCAGAGGCTGCAGATGCCCCATCTCCGGAAACATTCAAGGTCAGGCTGGACAGGGCTCTGAGCAACCTGATCTAGTTGAAGATGTCCCTGCTCATCATATGGTGGTTGGACTAGATGGCCTTTAGAGGTCCCTTCTAACCCAAACCATTCTATGAATTTATAAATCCATTTTTCCAGTGATATGCTGAGAGTACCATTTTCATCAGACCATGTAACAAGCATTTAGCTAGCTTTTCCATATACATATATCCTTGTTAGAATATATATAAGGATCAAAATTAAATAATCAGCTTAAGGGAATCCAACGGAAATTTACCCCGGATTTAAAATCTTTATATAAGTTTAACCCCTGCCTAAATTTATTATAAGTCAGTATGTACTGACAATCATTAGCTGGCAGAAAGGAAGAAAATTTATCTTTTTTTTTGTAAAGTGCAAATGTACTGAGTAAATCTCTTTAATAGCTATAGGGGCATATTTGGACATGTGCACACCTCTGTTAAACAAATAAATTTGAACTGTACGGGCAATAAATTTGAAATACATATAATATGTTCTCATTTAAATAAAATTTCAAATAAAACATTCTAGACAATGACAATATTTATCTAAAATTATGTTTTAAAAAGGTTTCTTTAGTAGTACTACAGCAAAAATAGATATTTTTCTTTTAAGGAAAAGTACTTTTTTTTGGTCTTCAACACAAATGACCTGAAGCAGCCTAGAGAACTCTACTGATGATTTACAGAAGTCAGGCTTAATCTAAGACTGAACTTTGAAAGATTCATTCTAAATGTGAAATTTAAAAATACCTTAAAAACAACACTCTAAATCATCAAGGTTGGAAGAGGCCTGCAAGATGATCCAGTCCAACTGTACATCCAGCACTATCACTGTAAACACTAAACCACATCACCCAGCGCCAGATCCAGACACCTCTTAAACACCTCCAGGGATGGTGACTTCACCACTTCCCAGAGCAACCATTTCCTCTGGTCCTCTCACTATAGGCACAGTTGAGGAGATCAAACCCACCTCACTACAATCTCCTGTCAGGGAGTTGTAGAGAGCAATGAGGTCACCCCTGAGCCTCCTCTTCTCGAAACTAAACAAACCCAGCTCCTTCAGCTGTACCTCACAGAATATGTTCTCTAGTCCTTCCACGAGCCTTGTTGCCCTTCGCTGGACATGCTTCCAGCACCTCAATGTCCTTTTTGAAGTGAGGGGCCCAAAACTGAACACAGGATTCAAGCTCTGGCCTCACCAGTGCCGAGTACAGAGGGACAATCACTTCCCTAGTCCTGCTGGCCACACTATTCTTGATTCAGGCCAGGATGCCACTGGCCTTCTTGGCCACCTGGGCACACTGCCCAGGCTCATGTTCAGACGGCTGTTGTCCAGCACCAAACAGCTCTCAAGCCACTTACTCCTCCCCCAGCCTGTAGCACTGCATGGTGTTGCTGTGATCCAAGTGCAGGACCCAGCACTTTGCCTTACTGAAACCTCATACCATTGGCCTCAGCCCCTTGATCAAGTCTGCCCAGTCTCTCTGCAGAGCCTTCCTGCCCTCCAGCAGATCAACACTCCTGCCCCACTTGGTGACGTCTGCAAATTTACTGAGGGTGCACTCGATGCCCTCATTCAGATCATCAATAAAGATGTTAAACAGGACTGGCCATAAAACTGAGCCCCGGGGAACACCGCTAGTGACTGCCTGCAACTGGATTTAGCTCCATTCACCACAACTCTCTGGGCCCGGCCATCCAGCCAGTTTTTTACCCACTGAGGAGTCCCTCCAACCAAGCTGCAAGCAGCCAGTTTTTCCAGGAGGACGCTGTGGGAGACAGTGTCAAACACTTTACACAATTCAAAACAGACCACATTCACAGCCTTGCCCTCATCTTCTAAGCGGGTCACCTTGTCATAGGAGATCGGATTGGTTAAGCAGGACCTTCTTTTGGTAAATCCACGTTGGCTGGGCCTTATACTCTGGTTGTCCTGCATGTGCATATATAACCTTACCAAAACAACTGCTACTGAAAACCAAATTAAACAAGTCCACACTGACAAGGATCCTTCTCTATTTTTCATTTCTAATGGCTTATATGTTTCACTAATCAGGTTGGCAGTCTTGAAAAAGTCCATTTATAAAATTCAAGTTGTCTCGACCACAGCCACACCCACACTAAGAAGGGGTGAGCAAAATACATCATTGATGGTGAGCATTAATGACAGGTTGGGTCCCCTTTCTCTTGTTTGGTTCTAATTCTTCTATGTTGTATTTTTGTCACATATAGAAGCATGACATGAAGACAAAGCCTCAACAATTTCAAAAGAATCCATCATTCTCTTTGACTAAATCATCATTTAAAGTCATCACCTACAGCTTCCCCCCAGTTCTGGGTACGGATTCTCAAATACATTCTGGGAAAAAATGTTATTTGATGTACCAGACAGATCCATTAGCCTAGATTTTGTGTGTGATTAACTTTAAATTTCTGTACTTTATTCTGTTGTGTATTTTGTACATAACAGAACTATACCAAGTAAGTCGAGGGTATTATTTTTTAAGCTACAGCATTTTTCTCAAGCCATTTTACTTCCTCTTCAAGAAAACTTCACCAAAGAACACCTTGTTTAGGAGGTACTTTTGGGGTGTATATTGTATGGTTTGGGTTTTTTAAGATTATATCATACCAAATGATTAACAGAAAACAGGAATGATCTAATCTATTTTATTATTTTTCCACACTGAATAAGTCTTTTCACCACTTCAACTGCCAGCATATTTTAAAGAATCCCTGAAGGATATGGAATTACGAGGCATCAACCAAGATGGTATCATTCAATTACTATGCTCCCTAAAAAATCACTTTGCGTACAGACCAAGAAATACCACTGGACAAATGAGACCAACATTATTTAAAAAGACTTAGTTTCTCAAGGATTAGTTAAATATTGGTAGTATCTATCACTGAAGTCTAACCGCACAATTCTGAAATAATCTTACAAATACAAAGCAATGTAAGACTCTTCCCAAGTGTAACATGGCTAAACTAAGAGCATTGTGTTACCATTTATTTCATTATCACTGATCTTTTCCAGATACAGCCTAAGGGTTTGGATTTTTCTCCCTATGTCACTCTGGCAATACATCACAGCTTCAATTAGAAGGCTATAATCTATATACAGTTGGGATCCGCAGTTCACGCTTTTTTTTTTTCCTTTTGCATATTGGATTTTTGGAGGCAAAACCAGAGAAAGGTACTTCAGTTGTAAAAAAAAAAAAAAAAAAAAAAGAAAGCTAAGGAAAGCCCCTTAAAAGAGCCAAGAAAGCAAACGAGGAACGCTCGCTGTTCTCCTCCCTTGAGGGAGGAAAGGAACTGAGAGGAGGACGTGGGGAGGAAGAGGGAGGAGACACTTTTAAAAAGCGAAATGTTGAGAACAGGGTGAACTTACTTAACCCGTGCGCACCGACCACAACCCAGTCCACGCAGGAGAGAACGCGAACTCACGGAGCCTCCGCGCACCGACCACACCACCACAGGCAGGAACCAGTCCGTCCCCTGCCGAGGCTGCGGACAGACAGACAGACCCGGCCCACGGGGAACAGCGGGGCGCAGCGGGGGCAGCTGCGAACGCGCCCCCCCGGCCCCGCGGGTGCCGGGGCCGAGGCGCTGCGTTACCCCCGCTCCGTGTCAGCCCCGCGCTGCGGCTCAGGGGCGCTCCGGGGCCCTCCCCCGGCCCCTCCTCCGGTGACCGGCCGTGCCCGCGGGAGCCGAGCTGCCCCAGCGGATCCTTCCTCAGCGAAGGGAAAGGAAGGGCGGCGGAAGATGCCCTGCCCCGCGCCTCCCCGGGAGCTCCGGGGCCACCTGTGGCAGCGAGCCCCGCCTGACAGACAGGCTGGCGGGCTGCGCCCCGCCCTGTGCGGGGACGGGGACGGCGGCGGCGGCGGGCCCCGATCCCCCAGCCCCCGGGCGGCGGCGAGGGTGGGAAGCAGAGCGGGCGCTCCGTACCTGTGGTGGCCGCCGCCGCCGCCGCCTCCTCAGCGCGCGCCCCCGTCCCCGCGCCGGAGCGGCACCGGAGCGCGCGGCCCAACCCAACGCCCCCGCCGCCCCCTCCGGCCCCGCCCCGCTCCCAGCGCGCGCCGCCGCTCTCGCGACGCTTCCCGCCCGGCCCCGCCCCCGGACCTACCGCCGCGCGCTCCCATTGGCGGGGAACCCGGGCCCGCCCCGGAAAGAGCCGCGACAGGGCGCGAGCGCGGGGGCGGGGGCGCGCACCGCTCTTCCCGGTGCGTGCGCGCGCGCTCCCGCGTGGGGATGAGCGCGCGCCGCCGCCGCCGCCGCGCCGGCAGGAGCCCGGGGAGGGACTCTGCTCGCCCTGTGCCAGTCCAGGTCCCAGTCCTTGCCCCCGTCAATGCCCCAGCCACTCTCCGTGCCCCAGTGCCTGCTCCTGTCCCAGTCCATGTCCCTGTCACTCTCCCTGCCCCTGCCCTTGCCCTTCTCCCCCTACCCGTCTCTCCCAGCCCCTGTCCCTGTCCGAGTCCCCGTCCGTGCTCCTGTCCAGCCCCTGCCCCTGCCCTGTCCCGCGGGGTGTGCCCAGGCGCGGGCGCGGCTCTTGCAGAGCCCCGGGCTGTGTGTGCCTGCCAGGTGAGCTGGGCCGATCCTGCTGTTTGGGATGGCCTCTCCCGGCAGGCTGGCATCCCAGGCGTCTGGCTGCCTCGGGTTGGAGGCTACAGCGTGGTTTTAGTCAAACGAGGCACAGACAAGACTGTCAAACCCTGCCTGGAAATCTTGCGCCCTTCCTCCTTTCCACATGCCATTTTTAAACTCGGTGCTACCAGATTCCCCTGGACACCAGGTGAATAGTTTGGCCCAGCAAATACGCAATTAATTTCCACATCCTCATGAGTTAGGATGATATGTGTTTAAGTGTAGGTGCTGTTGGGGCCTTGGATTTCATTTTGTTTGCATGAAAACAGTAATTTCATGTAGCTTCCCAAAATAACTTAGTTGCAGCAGCAGCAGCAGCTCCTTCAGAGACTAACCTGACAACAAGGACACAAATGAGGAAGTGTGTTGGACAATACACAATGGATCGTCTTAGCAATGTGCGCTAACAACTGTGTCCCTCCCAGAAGGAGAGACTCCTGGAATCGGGACAGGTCTTTCTGAGACTCGGCATGTCAGAGTGAAGCTCAGGAGGAGGAACAACAGAACTGGAGTTCCACTGTGGCTACAGGTGGAGACAGGGCAGCATGTGCTTGCAACAGCTTCTGAAAGACAGAAAAGAAAGAGCCCCCAAAGCTAAATTCAGCAAAAAATCCCAAACTTCATATACTAGGGAAGGGGTTAGGAAAGAGAAAAAGAATCCTAAGATGCTAGCCTTGTAGCTTTTTCAATACTGGGCCGTTTCAATGTCCAACCTGCTCCGCTTTACAGAGACAAAGACAAACAGAGGGAGACTACTGTGTGAGAATTTTTGCTACTGGATCTCCATTACTTCTCTAGATAATTCCTGCTTGTGCCTACCTTCTGTTTTCACTTGAGCTGTGGCTTTTATTTCTATTTAGTCTTTGATCATGGGCTGTTTCTCATTTGTGCAATCATTTTAGACACTTCAGAAGTCAGGGTGTGCATATTCACTTACTGATTTTTACCAACAGGTAGGTGAGCTACATTTTAATTTACTGTAAAAACTAGTAAGCTATGGACAAAGCCAACAAACCATGCAAACACTACATAGATAAAAGAAACAAAGGACTGGTTCTAAAATATGTCACACTGTGTGGCTTAAGTGGGACAAATAAAATGGTTCTCATATTCCTAGGAACTGCAGGTCCCTATGAGATGGAGAGACAGTAAATGAATAAAAGCATCAAATTTAAATCAAGTTAGTCGTCATTTCAGTGCCCCTTGAGACCAGCCTCACTTGGAAATACACTATCATTTGAGTAAAGACATTTTAACAGTTTGCACATCTCTAGCTAACCAACAAAATACCTCCTTTTGACCAACTCCATCACTAAAAACACTTTTCAGTTTTCATGAAAGCTAAAAATTCCGTAAGAGGGTTTTGTTGTTTTTAATGTATCATTGTTTTTCATGTATCAACAATAAGTAAAAAAATTCCAAAACAAAGTAGCTCTGGAAGCAATGTAAACATGAGAAAGCATGCTTTAAAAATAAATTCAAGCCTTTTATTCCCTTTGTTTTATACTTCCGCTGAGACTATTCAGAATAATGAGTTCCTATGGCTCCCTGCCAAAACCTTGAGAAAAATCAAGATTTATCCTCATCAGGAAACTATGAAACGTGACCCACAGCATGCCATTGTTTGTCAGAGAAAATGTTATTTTTTACACAGTAATCAAAATGGAGATAGTTTTGAAATAGTGATTTAAAATTTTTTTGTTGTTTTTTACAGTTGATTTAAATACTGTCTATGTAAAAGCACAGGAAACTTGTCTGGTCAGCCAACACTTCTTAAAATTTATATTAATTATGAAGAAATAGAGTGTTGGTTTCTGAGCTCTGGTATTTTGTGTCATGTTAATTTTATATTTTTCAGGGCAGGGTCTGGCCACTCAAAACCCATTCTGCTGACCCCAGCCAGGAAACAGGGAAGCTGGGGACAGCCCCAGCCTGGGGCATCGGGATGGGGACAGGTAAAAGCCAGGCTGTGACATCAGTCCACCTGTGGGGATCAGGATCAGGCCCCATGAAGGGGATCAGCATCAGGCAGAGCTGGTCATGCATCTGTAGTGTTTTCTACCTGCTCATTTGGTATGAAAAATAGGCATCTTTAGAATCTTTTTGTCAAAACTACTGTTACTATTCCTGACTCACTGTCTGTATCTGGCTTTTAAGCTCGATATCTTAGGATCACTGGCTTGGAGCAACTTATTCAAATATTATCTCAGACTGACCGATATGTCATCTCTCTCGGATATTGAATGCCAGTTCTGTGAAAGGTGTTGAAGAACTAGTCTGTGACTTTCTGGCAGTATTCTGTCCGTTTTCTTCCTAGTCCCTTACTTACATTTTTTTCCTCTGTACAGGAAAACTACACGGTTGCACGATTGTGTCAATGTTGTTTTGTCAGGGTTTTTTATGATACTGCTTCTGAAAAATGTGTCTCTATAACTAAAGCTTTATTAAGTTTGGGCAAGACTTGAAATTATATTGTATAAGCTACACTTAGAATAATAAGGATTGCCTTCTCAAAGGCAGATGCGTAATTTATATGTATTCCTACCTTCAACAGGAGGCATAGCATACTCTTCCTGTTTTAAAACCTGTTTAAGCCTTTTCCATTGATCCCCTTGCAGCAAGCTGGGAAGGATCTGCCATGTGCTTGATAATATTCCACCCTTCTCCCCCCGACCCCTTCAAAAACAAAAAGACCAAACAAAATTTAAAAATCTAAAGGTCATAATGTAATAGTTTTTTTAATGACTTCTAGTGGCTTCTCTGTTTATAACCTACCCTTCAGCTCCCCAGCCCAGCTCCCTGCTCCCGCATCTGCACTGCTTCTGGACTGTGCCAGCATGAACATTTGTGAAATCAAGCAATAAATGAGACTGAACTGAGAAGAATAGAGAACAACCTGCTTTCCTTCCATTTTGCTGATCCAGTTCACCAGTGTAATAAATGTGTCAGCATGGCGCTGGGGATAGCACAGAAACAACCAAGAACGGGAACAGCTTAAATTGTCTTGTTCTGCTGCTGAGGGCATACCCATGTGTTGGCTTGCTTTGCCATTTAGGCCCTAATCAGTGTCTCCTTGAAAACACTCTTGACACCCCTACCACCTCCTAAACTGGAACTCTTTGTCTCAGTGGGTGATTCTATTACTCATCTTGTCATGAATCTTTGGCCTGGGCTGGACCATGGTGTTTGTGTCTGACAAAGGTTGGGTTTATGGCATTATAGTATAATGTGATGGCATTTTTTGGTTTCTCTTCACTGAATGTTTCATGAATCCATTTTTGACATGTATGAGAAGTCATTTCTATTTGCATGTTTATGGATATCTCAATTCCTTTTTTCAACAGTGAAACCTAATAACTTTTATACAAGCTATATATTGCAGCTATTTCTGGCTTCTCTTTCTCTGGAGTTTGATCTGTGACCTGTGTTAAGTCATCTTTCAAAACAATATGCACAAGGGGTGTAATCCACGGACTATATACTGAATTCATCCTTCAGCTGGCCAGTTTTATGTCCTGCTGATAAATGAGTTCTCAGAGCCAACTAAATAGGCCTTTTAACGCAAAATGGAAAGCGTCACAAACTAACCCTATCAAAAGATGCATTGTGCTCCATAGAGGCTGTTTCAGATGATATGAGATTATTATCCAAAGCCTTGGAAAGCTCTCTGAATTCACATCCTTTCTGTGCATTGTGTTTGCTTAGAGGATGCAATAAACGTTGTCACTGTGTTACACAAGAGCATACAGTAATAACTGGAGCTGGCTGGGAAGTGAAATTTTTATTCTACAGGAAATTCCAACTTGTCAATATTTTGTTTCATCAGGTGCTGGAACAAAACACGTTGGCTCTGCAGCCTTTCTGGCAAAAAATGGAACAATCTATTTCTTTGCCAGCTGACAAGCCTGGGAAGCCAAGAAACCAACTGAGCAGTCGGCCTGATGCCAGGGAGCTAGATAGCCAGTCAGCTGAGCTACAGTGAGAAGCCAACTTGGCCAGCAACCACAGCCAGATCACAGCTAAAACTTCTGTAGAAAGTTTTGACGGAACCAGGAGAATTCAGAATGTTCAGTGCCAGTCTGCTCAATTAGAAGATGGTTAAACAAACCCTCTTAATAACTGACTGCGGTTGGGAAAGGATGTAACTGTACTGCACTTTGTGTTCCTTATGGATTTCTTCAGCTTTTGCCTTGTGAGTTATGCACATATTTATTGCTACTATTAAATCAATGAATTTTCCTTAAGGATTAATGATGACACCCAAGCCTATGAGGGAGTTTTCAGTGCTAGTTTTGTAATGATCATTCAAATAACACTGCGTGCCAGCAGTACCTCATAGTATCTGCTTGTGTATGTCTGCCTACTAACCAGAAGGTACAGTTACTGCAGGCTACACTGAGAGACTGAAATAAACACTTCTGTCTGCTATCAAATAACACGCTATCTCATTGTCTTCAGTCCATATTTGTGAATGAATTTAGGTTAAGATGAACTTGCCAAAAATGCAATAATGAGGCAAATACCTCTTCTGAACTAGGGAAAAAGTACTGATCTTTACTGGGTAGTTGGTAATGTTAAGGTCAACACCGATACGGAGAGCTCCCTTTTTTGTCAGAACTAACTATGCTCAAGTGCTGTTTGCTGAATGTAACCTTAAACATTATTGCAGAATTCTTGCAATGCTCCAGTTACTTTTTCCTTTTGGTGTAGTTTTGGAAAGATATCAGACAAGTTTGTAAAAAAAATTACATCTTTGTCTTCCCACAGCTTACAGCTATGGTATCATCATAAAAGGTATCAACTGCTTTTTTCAAATGTTTAGATAATTTCTATTGTAGGATAAATCTTATAATTTCTTAAATCTGCAGATGCTGTACACCCTATACACTTCTCTTGTTTGTTTCCGACTAGTTGCTGCATGTGATTCCTTCTTAAAGCCCAGAGATGTCATACACCATCATCACTACAACTGTGGTAACTCCAGGGAACAATGAATTTCCTTGTAAATGTTTAGTGGTAATTAAATTTTCTACAACTTCATTTATTTAAGTAGTCTCTAATATTCCTGCTGTGAAATCAGAGGAAAAACAGATGCTTTACTGAGATGCATTTCAGATCTTGTTCCTTCCACATATAAATAAATCTGACTTATTTTCTCTCTCAAATTCAACTACTGCGGAGATGCTACAGCATCTGGATTCCAAGTGGATTTATGTCAGTTGTTTGCTTTTCATTGACCTTTATATTCTCTAAGCATGGCACAGTTTATTGCTGTTTTTACAGAGTTTATTCTTGAACTGGAAATCGTTTGCACAGTAAGTATTTTCCCACAATGACAATAATTTATTGTAATGTTTATGGTGCATTTTCTTCTTCATTTCTGCTGGACTTGCTACACAGTTTTCTGTGCGCTGCTGCAACATATCTTGAAATGTGCTCTTCATCCCAAATGTAGTAACTTGAGCATATGTTTAAGGTTTAAGTCAATCTCAATATGATCATTTGGCTTGCCTGGTTTTATATTCCACACACAAATAACTGCTGCTGTGTGTCATTTAAGTCTTTCTGATTCTTGATTTCCTCAGTATTGCCAAATACTCAGAGATTATTTCAGTTCCCCTCTGATTCAGTCTATAACATAAATGCTCCTTAAACATGAGAACACTTTAATTACAGTGTTATTTTCTTTTTCCATCAAAATATTGACTGGAAACTATCAAATCCTTATACGTCTTGGTGATAACTTTTCAACAAAATTTGAGTATTAATAGCTTCTCTCTCAAAAAACAAAACAAAACAAAACAAAACAAAAAAAAACACACAAAAAAACCCCACAAAACTATGAGTGACAAGGAGACAAGGAAACAATCATCTGTACACTCCTTCCCAAGGACTTCTTTTTAACTCACTGTTCAAAGACATAAAATCTTGACCAAAATGAAATAAAGAACAGAAATACTGAAAAGAAATCCTGTGAGTTTTTCCCTACCACCATAAGATTTCTGAGTAGCTACCTTCATGGAAGGCTATTTCATTTTCCCAGTGAAATTTTTCTGGGAAAATTTCTCAGCTCAGAAATGTTACAGGCCCAACTGAGAACCAGACAAATTTAATTTTAAACTAAAAGTTAAACTTAAGCCAATCAGAGCAAAAATGTGGAATGTGAACAATATCTAAAATGTATTTCCAGAACACATCCAGTTTAGCTGAAGTGTTGTGAGTGATGATTAGCTCATGAACTCCTGATGTATGGAGTCTGTTGGGTCAGTAATGGGATGGGCAGGGCAATGATAAACTATGCCTGAGTCTAAATAGGAATGATTTTTTTAGAAGTTGGCATCTAGAGATATGTGGATAATGATCACAATAATGTCTATAATGTTCTATTATTAAGTCAAGGGGCAGCTTGAAAAAAAACCAACAAAACAGCCTGGCACCAGAAGCAACTCCATGACTTTGTTTTGACCAGTAAGACAACAGATCTAAACTTCTAAAAACAAGCCTTCATCTTTCTTTGTTGCAAAATGTGACATGGTGTTATCATTAGTTACAGCTCACTTGATTGTGAGATTGAGTTTTTCAAGACTTGAAATGTAGCTTAAAATTATACATCTTGGTAACACCATGTTTTACTGGATACTTTAGGCCACATACCATAGAGGTATTAGTTATTCATGTAATTAATTAATGAAGAAAAATTAATTTTTAACTTTGTTGAAAGGTGGCCACTTATGCTTTAAAGCTGTGGAAATATATATATATTTGTATATTTATAAATATATAAAATCAAAACATATTTTATTAGTCAAAAAGGAAATAATCCATTGTCTGCTTGCTTAGTTGCAAGGAACTGCATTAGGAATATTTGAAAAAGTAATAAAAGTGTTTTAAAACCAAATTATTTGAACTTCAACAATGTGTCATCATTTACAACTGATAAGACATAAATGGAAAATGAGAATTAATATTTGCTTTCAGATAACTGCCCAGGTCATATGCTGCATAGTAAAACAGATGTGCTATAGATAAATCAAGGTTTGATCCTGAAAGCTGTGTGTTACTTTATTTCTTTCCTTATCTGTCAAAAATTTTCCAGAAATACCAGTAGCTTTTAATTTCATCAGCTTTGAATACATGGAAGTGTTGAGGCCTGTCCCTGCAAGTTGGTTATCTTGAGAAATTGCAGTCAAAAGGTTTCTTAGGTATTTTCCTGCTACTAAGAAGTTCGGTAAGAATTGACCAACCATGATTTTCTGTTCTTTAGGGGTAGTGATGATGAAGATGGGGTACAGGAAAGAAATTAGTGGGTGAAGTGTCAGTAATACCCATATTTCTTTACTATATGCTAAAAGGTCTATGATAGTCATAAGTGTTAAACCATCTAGTTCTTAATGAGATGACTTTAATAGTATAATAATGTCACTGAAGGGTAAGTTACAATAACATACTGATGATGGATTCTTTAGTAATATACCCTTTAAAACACATCATACCAAAGGATAAAAATGAAAGTAGATTTCCATTCTCCTACAAGCCTAACTTTACTAATTTTATACCAGAAAACAAAGTTAAATTGATCTGATTTAGCTTATTCATTGGCAAAATGGTGTTGATTTTTCAAGGCATTGAAAGGATATTTTGTGGTTGGAAGCTGATTGATATGAATTATTTGTGTGGGGAAGAAATACAGGGTTTCAGAACAATCGCTGAGGACTTCACATGTGGCACCTTCAGGAAATAGTCTGATGTTCTGTTTTCCCATCCTGATTCCCTCAGGTTGTGGCAAGGCAGGTTTGCCTGAAAGCACCCTTTCTCCTCCTGCCTCCTTCATTATCCAGGCAGGGGGAATCCTTTGGGCTTTGCAGCTTTGAAAAGCTGATTTTTCTCTTTTGAAAAAATACAAATTTTTTTTATATGAGCGACAGTGTTAGAACACACAAGGCCACTCCTGATAGCTAGTATGTGATGGGGGAAGAGCCTAAACCTGAGAAATGAGCCAGGAATCCACTGTACAGATTATAGCTTCCTCTTTTCTTGCTTTTTTTAATTCATGGGTTTGAGAGGTTTTTTGGTCCCCTTCTGGCTTAAGTGTAGCAGGGGAGGATAATCTTCTCTATAAATGCACTTGAAGACACTGCAGAAACCTGATATATATGGATGATGTTACGGCTGAGTTTCCAAGTGAACTTTATTTCAGTTTTATGGGTGATGAGTTTTAAAATACTATTTTAAAAATTGAAATTAATATATAAATAATAAATTGCAACTTAGCTATATAGTATATTTGAGGGGAGTGTATATATGTATATGTGAGTGAAAAATACACACTGCTACAGAAAATACATTATATTCTTCAAAATAAAGTGTTCTGCTGAGGCCTCTAAATTTTAGTGTGGATGTTTTCCAGTTCTTTTCAGGAAAGATAATGATGCACACTGCAGGTGAAGGAGACTTGTCAGAGCTAGGAGTGCTGCTCACATTATAGACTGAGGAAGAGAGTACCATATAGAAAGAACCCTCAGGTTCCAGAAGCATCTGGAAGAAGACAGAAAGTGAATTTTAAGCTACTGTGCCCTACACCCTCTTCCCTTTCTGTTTCAAAGCACTTCATACATTGTCCTCCAACAGCGATCTCCAGAGCAATCCTGATGTGGTGTTGTAAAGCTCTTTGTAAAGTATGTCTTCTTTTGTCAAAAAGAAAAACCCAATTAAAAAGTACTAATGTACTGTGTGTACATAAAGGGCTGCTGGTTCTTGGACTTCATTCATTATACATAAACAAAAAAACCAGCAACCCCAAAACCTCTCTGACATCCATCTGGAGAGATCATATGCACCTCTCTTTTCATTCAACATCCTTTTACCAAGGGTGATACAGAACTAATGTGAGATAATCCTAAGTGAAACATAAAGTTCTGCCAACAGGACAAAGCACTGAGAAACACGATTACAGGGTTTTTTCGATTTGAAAGAAGCTTGTTTAGACTACTTCTTCTATTAAAGTTCCTACTACCGTAGAAGTGTCAGCATTTCTAATTCAGATCTAACAGTCTAGCCCATATTCCATCTCTGACAGTAGTTAACAAAAGATCTGTTACATGAAGGTGCCCATTATCCAGCGCAGACCAAATATAGAAAACATTTATTTATAACTTCTGTCATTTAGTAATTTTCTCAAGTTTTACAGTCTATGACACAAGGTTTCTGGAAATGTACTTCTTAGTGATACAGATTGATCCTCTAGCTAGTGTTAAATTTCCCTTTTTTTTTCTTTTTTTTAATGAAAGTAAGAGCTCTGCACTTCTTTAAAATCAGACTAGAATGAAAAATCACTGATTTTTTACTTTAACTGAGAAGCTAAACCCATACAATAAAAGGAGAATATTCTCAAATACATTGACAGTCATGCAGGGCTGCATTTAGCTATGCTATA